ACACACACACACACACACACACAGACACACACACACACTCACACAGACAAACACAGACACACACACACCAAAGGTATAAGGTGGAGTAAAACTACAGAAGACTTCCGTCTCATTATGTACACTAATATCCCTGCAGTATTAATACAACAGCATTAACGAGAGCAAATGATTCATGTGTGACCCCAGCGCTAATCGATGTCAAGTCATGCAACTCTTAAACTAGCTTCACAGGTGAGCAAGCTGGTAACCGGCATGCTGACTCACTCACACACACTGCAGTGAGAAATCTGCAGCGTCAGAGAAGCCGGTCGCATGCGCTGCGGGTGAATAATGCATGCAGCGAGTGGAAATCCAACATCTCTGACACGCAAACCTGCTTCTCGTCGCCTCATTTCACTCTCAGCACACCCTAGTAAAAAATAAATACATTCATTTCATACTAAGTATAGTTAAAATCTATTAACATATTTACTGACAGATAACTCGAGACTTACTGATATAAAAATGATAATTCAACTTTATTTGGAGTACTACTTGTGCACAATGCACATTTCTTAATATTAAGACTAAAATGTGTTTTAATGTCACTTTTGATGAGGATTGCATGATCTTTGAATATCAGTCTTTAAATGTAAGATATTTAAAGTGTACTTACAACAGCTGCACTTCAGCACGATACTTCAGTATATCTTTAACTGGACTTCAGCGCTACTTCCGCACAATTAAAGTTCATTAAGTACAAAATTAGTGGTTTCAATTTAGCAGACTTTAAGAATAACACATTAGTATACCAAAAGTGCAATTGCAGGGTATTTTTTTATTAAGTACATAAATATGTAAATGTATTTGTAGTATACGTTGCATGAAATAAACGTATTTCAAATACATTTTAGCATATTTATTTTTCACTAGGGGAGACACTGCAAAAAATATTTTCTTCCTTAGTATTTATGTCTTGCTTTCTAGTATAATGTCTAAAAATTCCGTAATCAGGATGCATTTAAATAATCTTAATTCAAAGGCTAAACAAGATTATTTTTCTTACCCCACTGGCAGATATTTTTACTTGTTTTAAGCAAAAAAAATTTAAAAATTTCAGAAAACAAGACATAATATCTGGTCATTTTACTCGTCAAGTAAATGCATCTTAATTCCAGAATTTTAGATATTTATACGAGAAAACAAGACAAAAATACTAAGGAAGAAAATCATTTTTTGCAGTACAGGCATGCGTCTGCACTCTGCAACTAAAGTGGAATCCAGAAATTCTCATGGCCAAGCTAATAATAGAAAGTATCAGGGCGTCATAATCTTTCATGCTTCCTAAACATTCCCAATCCTTATTTACAGAGCAAACAGGATTAAATCTAATCAGCACATTCATGAGATGCGTGCAGGGAACGAGCGTCAGACCTGCGCCACACTGGAATTCATTCTGTATCAAAAACACATTCCAGGCTCAGCTGTCAGTCACAGCGGTGACACGCCCCTCAGGGACCAATCAGAAGGCACACAGAGCGGCTCATTTGCATATGAGCTCCCAGAGGACAACAGTGTGTGTTTGAGGAATCATATTCCTGCAGTGTTATTGACCTGACTCATGGAAATATGTGACAGTGATAACAGCATCAATGCAGGATGCTCTGATGGAAAGAACTAATATTTCACATTCATATCATGTTTTGTTACATTTTCATAGTACAAACTTACAACTATAATGTTCAGTATGTAGTTTGGTGCAAACAGTCAGGGACTCGGAACAACTAGAAAAGCTGGCAGTTTGTAAGACCATCAATCTGTCGATTATTTAGGGTTTGTGATTATGCATGAGTTCTATTGAGTTTACAACCACTTTATTTCACTGATAATACATGCTTTATAAATGAGACAGCCTCCCGGACAAGTGGACAACTGCGGCCCTACTAGAGACTATATAGTGCACACTAAGGGGCAGCACAGAATCATCAGAAGTCAACGAGGATGAGTACATCAAACAAACGCTGGAATCCAGTGCATTGACTAAAATAATCTATCGCTGCAGAAGCACGCTTGATAGTTAGTGAGCGTCACTGAATGCACACTAACTAGAGAGCGGCACTATTATTGCTAAAGAGGTCGATGCTGAGATCACATCAAACACCAATTGAAACTAACCCTAAGCATGTTGACTAAACCGATTAATCGTGGCAGCAGTGCACGCTAGTTAATTAAATAGTTAGTGAGCATCTTCAAGTGCATACTAGCTAGGAAGCGGCACTATTACTATGAGGATGAAAGATCACATCAAACACACCAGCTGGAATGCAGAGCATAGGCTAAACCGATTAATCGCGGCAGCGCTAATTAGTTAGTGAGCATCATCGAATGCACACTAACTAGGGATCGACACTATCATTACAGAAGAGGAAGATGAGGATGAAAGATCACATCAAAAATAAACTGGAGTCGAATGCATCAACTAAACTGATTAATCGCTACAGCGCTAGTTAGTTAGTGAACATCATTGAGTGCACACTAACTAGGGATCGACACTGTCATTACAGAAAAGGACGATGAGGATGAAAGATCACATTAAAAATAAGCTGCAGTCGAATGCATCGACTAAACTGATTAATCGCTACAGCGCTAGTTAGTTAGTGA